CCATAGACCACAACCACCAATCCACACCACAATCATTCATTAACACAAACCATAGACCACAACCACCAATCCACACTACAACCATTAATTAACACAAACAATAGACCAAAACCACAACCACCAATCCACACTACAATCATTCATAACACAAACCGTAGGACAAAATAGCAACCACCAATCCACACCACAATCATTCATTAACACAAACCACGGACCAAAACTGCTACCACCAATCCACACCACATCATTCATTAACATTAAGCATAGACCAAAACTGCTACCACCAATCCACACCCCAATCATTCATAACACAAACCGTAGGACAAAATAGCAACCACCAATCCACACCACAATCATTCATTAACACAAACCACGGACCAAAACTGCTACCACCAATCCACACCACATCATTCATTAACATTAACCATAGACCAAAACTGCTACCACCAATCCACACCCCAATAATTCATTAACACAAACCATAGACCAAAACTGCTACAACCAATAAACACCACAAAACAGCAACAACCAATCCACACCTCAATCATTAATTTACACAAACATTCATAGACCACAACCACAACCACCAACCCACACATTTTTTTGTGCTTATGAATGATTGTGGTGTGGAATGGTGGTTGAGGTTTTGGTCTATGGTCTGTGTTAATGAATGATTGTGGTTTAGATTGGTGGTTGAGGTTTTGGTCTATGGTCTGTGTTAATGAATGATTGTGGTGTAGATCGGTGGTTGCAGTAATAAACATCATCAACATTACCACATCAGTATACTGCATTATCTAAAACTACACACCAGCAAACTAGCACCAATCCACGCTGCTACCACACAAATAACAACATCAACCACCACAGCCAACAAATTACACTACCTTCATACACCATCACTAACCTTCACCACAACAACAACAAACAACACCACACACCAACATCAGAACCATCAATCACCAGCACCACTCCACAAAGCCACCACAATCACCAAACAAACAACAAAATAAACTACCAGCACCATTAATCACCAGTGCCAATAATTTACACTACATTCATACACCACCACTCAATAAATCACAATAACATACACCACCACACCACCACTCTCAACAAATTACACTACCGTCATTCACCACCTTTTCCCTTCACCACAACGGCAAACAACAACACACACCACCACCAATCTACACACCACCACAGCCAACAATTTACACTACTGTCATACATCTCCCCTAACCTTCACCACATCATAACAACAAACAACAGCAAACACCACCACCAATTACCACACCACCACGGCCAACAATTTAAACTACCATCATACACTACCTGACTTACTTTCACCACATCACAACACCAACAAACAACGTCACACACCACCATCAATCACCACACAACCAGAGCCAACCATTCATACTACCGTCATACACCACCCCTAACCTTCACCACATCATAACAACAACAATACACCACCACCACCAGTACCATAAATCACCACACCATCACTGCCAACAATTTACACTTCTGTCATACAACACCACTTACCTTCATCACAACAACAAACAACATTAAACACCACCGCAACCACCATCAATCACCACACCACAACGGTCAACAGTTTACACTACAGACATACACCACCACTAACCTTCACCACATCACAACAACAAACAACAGCAAACACCACCATCAATCACCACACCAACGCTCAACAATTAACACTACCATCATACACCACCACTAACCTTCACCACAATTACAACAAACAACAAAAACCACCACCAGCACCATCAATCACCACACCATCACTGCCAACAATTTACACTACAATCATATACCACCACTAACCTTCAACACAACAACAAACAACAGAAAAAACCACCATTAATCACCACCACCAGCACTGTCAACAATTTACACTACCACTTGCCTTCACCACATCACAACAACAAGAGGCCTAACTCCTGTGACCTTGAAAGTCGAACAAGGTCATTATGTTGAACAAATCTTATAGCCCTTTAGCTCACGATGCAACTTGCAAAACATCATCTTCCTATCCTTTTGTTTAGTGAAATTAGGTCATTTGAATGTTTAAACATGTGTGAGTAAATGTGACCTCGAAAGTTGGTTAAGGTCATTCAAATGAAAAAGCTTGATAGCCCTTCATTGAATCATACTACTGGCTAAATATCAACATTCTGGGCCTCATGGTTATTCAGAAGAAGTCATTTAAAGATTTTAAACATATTTGACCCCTGTGACTTTGAATATAATTCAAGGTCATTCATTTGAACAAACTTGGTAGCCCTTCATCACAGCATGATACTGCCAAATAGCATCAACCTAGGATTTTCATTTATTGCATGTTGCTGACCAAATATCATTACTCTAGGTCTCTTAGTTATTCAGAAGAAGATGTTTAAAGATTTTTGAAGACAATTGACCCATGTGACCTTGAAAATGAATGAAGATCATTCATTTGAACAAACTTGGTAGCCCTTCATCCCAGCATGCTACTGGCCAAATATCATCACCCTGGGCATTTTGGTGATTCAGAAGTTGTTTAAAGTTTTTAACATAATTGACCCCTGTGACCTTGAAAATAGGTGAAGGTCATTCATTTGAACAAACTTGGTAGCCCTTTATCTCAGTTTGCTTCTGACCAAATATCATCATCCTATGCCTTTTGGTTATTGAGATGAAGTTGTTTAAAGAAAAATATTGACGCCGGACGCTGGACGCCGCATCGTGGCATAAGGCCCCTCGGCCCTTCGGGCCAGGTGAGCTAATAAACAACACACCATCACCAGTACCATCAATCACCAAACCACGGCCAACAATTTACACTACCGTCATACACCACCATGCACTTACCTTCACCGCATCAAAACAACAAACAACAGCAAACACCACCACAACCACCATCAATCACCATACCACCACAGCCAACAATTTACACTACCGACATACACCACCACTTACCTTCACCACATCACAACAACAATAAACAACACTCACCACCACCACTGCAAAAAAATAACACTACCATCATACACCACCACTAACCTTCACCACATCACAACCACATACATCACTACACATCATCTTTAATTAAAATCTGTCTGTGTAACACTTAAAATATCTAATATACATGTACATGCATTTCGCAAAAGACTACACCAAATCCAGCATACAATGTCAATTCTATACAACATGAGAAGAGAGAAGATATGGTCCCAGGTGACGGTAGTGTAAGGCCCCTATCAATCTTTGGTCATAATTTGTTGAAATCCATGGTACTAACTAACTGTGGTTCACCTGGAAGCTTGGAATTATTTTTCTGGTCAGGAAGTCCACAGTCATGAACATTTACAAGTAGAAGATTGGTTTCCATCCAATATATTGAGTCTTTGTTAACCAATCAAACTTGATATACTTCATCTACGTTTCCCTTTATATAGTGCTTGCTTGGTTTCGCTTTATGGTCTAAAGATCAAAGGTCAAGGTCATTGGTAAGATAAATAGAAAATTAGTTTCGTATAATAACTGAAGTTCTTGTTGGCTAAATCTTTAGAATATCTGAAGGTCTAAAGGTCATGGTCACTAGTACTATAAATAACAGTTGACTTCTGCTCAACAGCCCCAGTTTCCAGGGCCAATTGAAATTCCCACATTACTTTCATATCAAAAGTGCCTATGCTTGTCAAGTCTTAAGATCAAAGACATTGTCATAATCAATAAAAAAAATGGTTTTGCTCAATAGCCTGTTTCTGAGTGCTGATTATGTAAAGTTTCATATATTTCTAATTCTTATCAAAAGTACTTGTTTGAGATTGACTATCAGATTTAAAGGTCAAAGGCCAAGGTCAATGGTTTTATCCAATTACTCAAATTCTCTTGGGTCACTAACACTCAACTTCATATACTGCTTTATTACAGAAAGTGCCTGTTTCGGATTGCTTTTCATGTCTTAAGGTCAAAGGTCAAGTTCACTGGTACTACAAATAGTAAACATGCTTATGTGCACAAAATCAAGTTCCTGTTGGCTGATAACACTTGAATTTTATACACTGATTCCTTACAAAAGGGATGAGTTAAATCTCGTTTCGGAAACACCATATGCAGTCTTTATCCAAAATGTTAACCAACGTTGTTAACTTTTTTTTACACATACATTTCCAAGACATATAAACTTGTATGGAGGCTGAAAGGCAGAGACTATGTGATCTCAAAGACTGATTGTATAGAGTCTACCAGTGGAATTAACGTATAAATAATCTTCAGTTTTACTTCCTTGGTTTGGTTTGATTGTGTTTTACGTCCTATTAACAGTTATGGTCATGTAAGTATGTGCCAGGTTTTAGTGGTGGAGGAAAGCTGGAGTGTCCGGAAAAAAACTACCAACCTGCAACCAGTACCTGGCGACTTCACCACTTAGGACTCGAACCAGCGACCCAGTGGTGGAGGGCAAGTGGTAGCAGAATGTCAGACGCCTTAACAACTCGGCCACTGTGGCCCTTTCTTCCTTGATGGGTTGATTTGAAATGTAGGATCTTTACAAGAATAACCATACAAGTACATCTAAACAAATTCTATGTGAATTATCTTCTGAAGGTCCTGCATGCTTTCAATTTTTTCAAAATGATCTGAGTTTTTCAGACATTTTCTACTTCTCAATAATGATCTGGAATTTTAATTGGAAATTTGGCATTTGGGTGCGGTCTTGATTTTAGGAGAAAACAATTCTCCAGTTTGAGCTAATCTTAATATTAAAACTATATGCTGTCAATTACTGTGTTTTAAACATTTAAAATACTATATAAAAGTATATTAGACCTCACTGCTACGAGTTTTCTTTTCAATTTGTATAAATTGCAACTCTGGGAAGATTAAAGAGTCCACACTCAGCAATCAAACATAATGCAACAGTTATTCCACGGAACAAAATACTTAACAATATCAACCAAAAAAAGCATCAACAAAAGTTTGTTCAATATTCTATATATTTTGCAGACATTATATCACACAACAGGCATATAACAAGTTAACTGAATCTTTTGCTCTATAACTCTTTTAGCCACAGAAAATGTTCAATGCAGTTTTCAAGATTATATCACTCTCGTCAGGCTCATGGCAAATGACTTACTTTTTAAGCCAGGTTTTTTTTCCCGTAACATGCTTTCAATTACATGCCCTACCTTTCTAATTTGTTGAAAGTGAAGAAACAAAACAGGCCAAGTCAAGTGATCACAAGTTTAATTAACATACCCAGGGTTGAATAGATACCAGTATGATTTTAAAGTTAGCAGAAATAAATTTACTAAAATTTTCTGTCAGACGGAATTGCCACACACAAACGGTGAGGACACCAATTTCTGTATATTTTTATAGAATGGTCAAATTTTCAAAACAACAGTAATCATCTCTTCCATTTATGTGTTTCTTCATCATCAGAGTCCTCATCATGTGTTTCTTCACCATCAGAATACTCATCTATCTCATCATCAGCATCACGAGTTTCGCGTTCAAACAATTCACAAAAAGCAATGTAGTCAGACATTGGCATGTTTCCGTATTTTTTTAAGAAAACTCGGGTTGACATATCAACAATATCTTCTAAGACAGGGTTGGGATTGAGCTGACCCTTCTTTACTCTTGTTTTGTAAAACCCTGAACGTACCAGGAAGGCATGCCGCTGTCTGATATGATTCAGACTGTGTTTAAACAGACTACTGTACATGATTTGTCTCTGGGTGATACCCATCACATGGAAAACATAATTGAACTTTGCTGTGATCACAGCCAGGTCTTCCATCAGAAGGGGAGGCGACCTACCTATAAGATCCAGAACATCTTTCGACTTGAACAAGTGCTGTAGATCTGAGATGCGCTTGGTGATAGTCTTTGTGGGGATTTGCAGCACTTCTGGTAAGCCTTCGATAATTAACAGAATGTTTGTGTTTATGAATCTAAGATCCCGCAAATGTGCGATCTTCGCCCGAACTTCATCTTTTGGTATGTCTAGAACCTTGGGATACTTCGACACAAGCTTGCAAACTCTTCTACCATTAAAACCGTTCTTGTATAAGAAAGTTGTGATTGAAATAAAATGTTGATGTTTGTAAATATCCTTGTTTTCTGTCAAAAAGTGCTGTATTTGGACTAGAGACAAACGTAAACTGTACAAGTGTCGTATACATGCAACCAGAATTATTCTCAAATCATCCCCAACCTTTTCAGTTTCCTCCATTTTCTCCAGGACACTTTTACTTATAGCGTTGACATCGCTCTCAATCTTTTCCATAATCTTGATGTTTTCACTCGTTGATTTACCACCATCGCCTGGATAAACTTTCTCCGTTTCTGTCATCATCACACTATGTTGAATGTGAATAGACCTGTTGACAACACACATACAGTTAGAAAATTTCTTATCTGATTTAAACCATAGTCTTTGTGTGTATAACACCTTTCTGAATCCATGACAGGGTTTTGAGATGCTTGGCATATCAGTGTTTCCATAGAAACTCAGGTTTCTGTAGTCTCCTAAACATTTTGTGTGCGTTGTCTCCCCTTGCCCCATAGAAGACCATGTCCTGGCAGGTAGGTATTTCCACTTCAATAGAGAGCGAACAGAATGTAGAATCTTCATCTTGGTTATACAGCGATCAAAGATTCTTCATCATTACCTGAAAACCAAAGAGGATGTGAGTAAATAATTAACATACAGATTGTATGAGTACTATTATTGTCGATACTCCAAGGGTTACGCTCAATTCAATCTCTATGAAGTGTAGGTAGACTGGAATGTACAGGATTGTAACCCTTGGCTATGAAGTGTAAGTGGACTGGAACATACAGGATTGTAACCCTTGGCCATGAAGTGTAAGTAGACTGGAACATACAGGATTGTAACCCTTGGCGATGAAGTGTAAGTAGACTGGAACGTACAGGATTGTAACCCTTGGACATGAAGTGTAAGTAGACTGGAACGTACAGAATTGTAAGCCTTGGCTCTAAAATGTAGGCAGACTGGAACGTACAGGATTGTAGCCCTTGGCTATGAAGGGTAAGTGGACTGGAATGTACAGGATTGTAGCCCTTGGCCATGAAGTGTAAGTGGACTGGAACGTACAGGATTGTAACCCTTGGACATGAAGTGTAAGTAGACTGGAACGTACAGAATTGTAAGCCTTGGCTCTAAAATGTAGGCAGACTGGAACGTACAGGATTGTAGCCCTTGGCTATGAAGTGTAAGTAGACTGGAACGTACAGGATTGTACCCCTTGGCTATAAAGTGTAGGCAGACTGGAACGTCCAGGATTGTAACCCTTGGCTATGAAGTGTAAGTGGACTGGAATGGACAGGATTGTATCCCTTGGCCATGAAGTGTAAGTGAACTGGAACGTACAGGATTGTAACCCTTGGACATGAAGTGTAAGTAGACTGGAACGTACAGAATTGTAAGCCTTGGCTCTAAAATGTAGGCAGACTGGAACGTACAGGATTGTAACCCTTGGCTATGAAGTGTAAGTGGACTGGAATGTACAGGATTGTATCCCTTGGCCATGAAGTGTAAGTGGACTGGAACGTACAGGATTGTAACCCTTGGCCATGAAGTGTAAGTGGACTGGAACGTACAGGATTGTAACCCTTGGCCATGAAGTGTAAGTGGACTGGAACGTTCAGGATTGTAACCCTTGGCTATGAAGTGTAAGGAGACTGGAACGTACAAGATCGTAACCCTTGGCTATGAAAGGTAGGTAGACTGGAACGTACAGGATTGTAAACCTTGGCTATGAAGTGTAAGTAGACTGGAACGTACAAGATCGTAACCCTTGGCTATGAAAGGTAGGTAGACTGGAACGTACAGGATTGTAACCCTTGGCTATTAAGTGTAGGTAGACTGGAACGTACAGGATTGTAAACCTTGGCTATGAAGTGTAAGTAGACTGGAAGGTACAGGATTGTACCCCTTGGCTATGAAGTGTAAGTGGACTGGAATGCACAGGATTGTATCCCTTGGCCATGAAGTGTAAGTAGACTCGAACGTACAGGATTGTAACCCTTGGCTATGAAGGGTAGGTAGACTGGAACGTACAGGATTGTAAACCTTGGCTATGAAGTGTAAGTAGACTGGAAGGTACAGGATTGTAACCCTTGGCCATGAAGTGTAAGTGGACTGGAACGTTCAGGATTGTAACCCTTGGCTATGAAGTGTAAGTAGAACGTACAGGATTGTAACCCTTGGCTATAAAGTGTAGGCAGACTGGAACGTACAGGATTGTAACTGTAACCCTTGGCTATGAAGTGTAGGTAGACTGGCACGTACAGGATTGTAACTGTAACCCTTGGCTATGAAGGGTAAGTAGAACGTACAGGATTGTAACCCTTGGCTATTAAGTGTAGGTAGACTGGAACGTACAGGATTGTAACCGTTGGCTATGAAGTGTAAGTGGACTGGAACGTACAGGATTGTATCCCTTGGCCATGAAGTGTAAGTGAACTGGAACGTACAGGATTGTAACCCTTGGACATGAAGTGTAAGTAGACTGGAACGTACACGATTGTAACTATAACCCTTGGCTATGAAGTGTAAGTAGACTGGAACGTACAAGATCGTAACCCTTGGCTATGAAATGTAGGTAGACTGGAACGTACAGGATTGTAACCCTTGGCTATGAGGTGTAAGTAGACTGGAAGGTACAGGATTGTAACCCTTGGCTATGAAGTGTAGGTAGACTGGAACGTACAGGATTGTAACTGTAACCCTTGGCTATGAAGTGTAAGTAGAACGTACAGGATTGTAACCCTTGGCTATGAAGTGTAAGTAGACTGGAAGGTACAGGATTGTAACCCTTGGCTATGAAGTGTAGGTAGACTGGAACGTACAGGATTGTAACCGTAACCCTTGGCTATGAAGTGTAAGTAGAACGTACAGGATTGTAACCCTTGGCTATGAAGTGTAAGTAGACTGGAAGGTACAGGATTGTAACCCTTGGCTATGAAGTGTAGGTAGACTGGAATGTACAGGATTGTAACCCTTGGCTATAAAGTGTAGGCAGACTGGAACGTACAGGATTGTAACCCTTGGCTATGAAGTGTAGGTAGACTGGAACTGCAGGATTGTAACCTTTGGCTATGAAGTATATCCCAAGGATGATTCAGGCCAAATTTGGATAAAATCCCTCCAACAATACAGAAGCAGAAGGATTTTGAAGACTTTAACCTGGAATTTCCCTATCATAAGCCCTGCCCCTCTTCACCCAGAGGGACCACATGCACCGATGGACGCTGCAGTATGTCATAAGCTCACCATGGTCCTTCCGACCAGGTCGGCTAAAAAAACATTTTTTCATGCATTTTAAATTTACTAAAAGTGTGAACCGACTTGTTTTCGCTTCATTACTTCAAAGCTTCACCTAACGTTAAGTACATATGTATTTACATTTGGTACCTTAAAACGGACCTCAATAACAAGAGGCCCAGATGACCTGTATCGCTCAGCTGGATATCAAAGCAATTGTTCATGCCCAGCAATTGTACATGTATGATTAATTATGGGGTGCCGGTGGGGATCTAAACTGTTTCCAAGCTGTGACTCAGAAACCAGGTCCCTATTTTTTTATATCAGCTTTTTGGCCCCGCACCCAGCCCCCTGGGGGGTCAGCCCCACCATTTGTACAATTTTGAATCCCCGCCTCCAATAAATGCATCCCACCAAATACGATTAATGTCCAGTGCTAAGTTCTACAGAAGAAGTCATTTATAGCAATATCACCAAGTCTAGTGCTAGGGCCAGAGGAAACTTGCCCAAGTTTAACTAAAAGTTTGAACCGACTTGTTTTCCCTTCATTACTTCAAAGATCCTCGCTGATGTGAAGAAGTACATATGTATTTACATTTGCTACCTTAAAACCGGACTCAATAAATATGTGGCACACAGTGGCACACAGTATTACAGAAACTGGACCTGTGACGATTTTCATGATCATGAATTTTAGTCGTTTCGGTAACAGGTCGTTTCGGTAACAAGTCGTTTAGGGAGTCCGAAAGTTGTTTCAAGACTTAATCAAGTCGTTTCGGGACATATACAATTTTCACTTATAAATAACATTTCTGAAAGGTTAATTCCTTGTTTGATATTGTAATTATCTTTTCAATTCACTTTATTCTCCGTTTTTGTTATTGACATTAAAAGACGAATGAGTTAACATTGATTCTAACAATGTTTTAAGCATTTTATTTTTGCTATATATTATAATTAAATTTCATGAAAGTAAAAACGTGAAACATGTAGAATATATTTTGGACATGTGAATCAATTCATCAAATCCAGCAATGTAGTTTGAACGATGTTTTTTATGTTGTGTATTTTTGTCCGTGTGAATATTATATATATTTATTCATGGCTATGATAAGTTGTAATAATTTTTATCTAATCGGTTGTCTAAATCTAGTTGACATTAAAATATTTTTGAAGAAAAAAGAAAATGGAATCTACAGAAGATAAAAAAAAAATGAAAAATCCCGAAAGTCCCGAAACGACTTTCGACACAGTTTCGTCTTGTTACCGAAACGACCTGACACCATGATCATGATGTTGCATTGTGTGCCGGACACTGCACCATACATATTTCATAGAAATATTCAATATATATTACATCGTACATAAACGGCCATTGTATGCACAAAATACTTACACACGTAGTTAGGTTATGTTGCCAGAATCATTTCCCAAAAGCATGCTTGGTCGAACTCTTTTAAAATGGAGGTGCGTTTGGACTACATAGGGAGGGACTATTGAGAAATGAGAGTAGATAAAGATAATAACCTGCTTTGTGTATGCCTATTTCTAAATTTCTTTTACATGTATGTTAAAATAAGTTATAGAATATTTGTTGATGACTTATTGTAATTTCTTTTACTCAACTGAGCTTGTATGAAAATGGACTGAATTACGTATCTAAATACGGACAGGTCCCCTCTAAGAAGAAGAAGCATGGGGTCATTCTGACAAACAGACAAACAACATTATAAATAAGGTGAGTCGAGTTGGCTTTGGTCTGCAAAAATACGAATGCATTTGTTTATGTTGAAAGTATTGGAATATTTGGATCTGAAAGAACCAAAGAATATATATTCTGTCCGACATTTCGCCCCTCAATCATTTCAGTCAACAAAAAACTAGAAAAAAACAATCTTTTTGAGAATTTTCTATAACTTAAGGCCCGGCAGACGGCTACCTAAAATAGTGAATTACTATTCCAATTCCCATGGTAAGTAGCTAGGTTGCGATATGCAGTAGATGATGAAGGTCCATATATATATACATGTAGTTATGTCCCTCTCGAGTCGGTCGCGTTATATTATGCCAGATTTTCCATGTTACTTGAAGTGCTGTCCTGGAAAAAGTCGACACGACTGTCGACTGGGACCTGATAATTTGTTACAGCTATATTTGGACCTAAACTTACTCACACTGTAGCGGAACTGGACTGGGTCGATTGTCTGCGACCAGATCTAGACACTAGGGAATAGTTTTTGGGAAGTTTCCTCGCAAAGGGGGTAGAAATTACCCTATTTTCGATGAAACTTCCCCATTCCCGGTAGGACTTCCCTATTCCGGTAGGATTTCCCCATTCCCGGTAGGACTTCCCCTTTTCTGTGAAATTTCCCCTTGGTCCGCTGAAACTTCCCCTTTCCGCTGAAACTTCCCCTTTCTGCTGAAACTTCCCCTTTCCGCTGAAACTTCCCCTTTCCGTTGAAACTTCCCCTTTCCGCTGAAACTTCCCCTTTCTGCTGAAACTTCCCCTTTCCGCTGAAACTTCCCCTTTTCGCTGAAACTTCCCCCCAGGCACAACGGTCACCTTTACCTGTACACCGATCGACTGACCGACCATGCCTGACAGCTGTAGCGACAGTGAGCGCCTGTCAGTCTATTAATAGATCTGGTGAGAAAGACCGGTTTACCTGTGACGATACCTTACCGTTGTTCAAGCCAGTCAGTTAAAAACAATGCTCCGAATTTTGTGTATTTATAATGACATATCAGACATCGATGTGTTTCGATGATTACTATGTATATATTATATCTAAGTGCGATTAACCAACATTGAAAAGCGTTTGTACTCATGAAGTTTATTGTTTGCGATTCTTGTGTAAACAGCTGAGTACGGAATGTTTTGCTGTGACTAT